TCTCTCGCAACAAGCCATTTCTGGCACCGTTGTCGGGGAGATCTATGCACAAGTCAAGACATATCAAGTACCCATCACAAACTCTTATCCCTCGCATTACATTACTTGCCATTTGTCTCTCATTTTCCTCTCCCCCACTTCACCCTTACCGTTTTATTCGCCCTCTTTTCAGTTCGTCTCTTTTTGTTTGCCTCTTGTTTGCTTGTGTGTTGGATTTATTGTTTGTCATGATGGCTCAAGATGATACTAAATTGTGTGACTTCTCCAATACCAACAATAATAATTTTATTAGCACTCCGATTGCTCCTCTTACCGATGTTGAATCTTGTGAAATTAATACTGTTTTGCTGAATCTTGTCATGAAAGATCCGTTTTCTAGTCTTCCTAGTGAAGATGCCGCTACCCATATAAACAGCTTTGTTGATTTATGTGATATGCAAAAGAAGAAATATATGGATAATGATATTGTTAAATTGAAGCTATTTCTGTTTTCGCTTAGAGATCATGCTAAAACTTGGTTTTCGTCTTTTCCTAAAAATAGTAATTATTCATGGAATAAGTGTAAAGATGCTTTTATCTCTAAGTATTTTCCTCCCGCTAAGATCATCTCTCTTAGAAACGATATCATGAATTTTAAGCAACTTGATCATGAGCATGTTGCACAATCTTGGGAGAGGATGAAATTAATCGTACGTAATTGCCCTACTCATGGATTAAATATATGGAAGATCATACAATTTTTTTATGCCGGATTGAATTTTGCTTCTAGAAATCTTTTAGATTCGGCCGCAGGAGGCACTTTTATGGAAATCACTTTAGTATAAGCTACCAAACTCCTAGATAATATTATGGTTAATTATTCTCAATGGCACACCAAAAGATCTACTACTAAAAAGGTTCATGCTATAGAAGAAATTAATGTTTTGAGTGGAAAGATGGATGAACTTATGAAATTATTTGCTAATAAGAGTGTTTCTTCTGATCCTAATGATATGCCTTTGTCTACTTTGATTGAGAATAATAATGAATCTATGGATGTGAATTTTGTTGGTAGGAACAATTTTGGTAACAACGCTTATAGAGGAAACTTTAATCCTAGGCCGTTTCCTAGTAATTCCTCTAATAATTATGGTAATTCCTACAACAACTCTTATGGAAATTTTAATAAGATGCCCTCTGATTTTGAGACTAGTGTTAAAGAATTTATGATTTCGCAAAAGAATTTCAATGCTTTTCTTGAAGAAAAATTGCCTAAGATTGATGAGTTGGCTAGGAACGTGGATATAATTTCTCTTGATGTTGATTCTTTGAAACTTAGATCTATTCCACCTAAACATGATATCAATGAGTCTCTCAAAGCCATAAGAATTTCCATTGATGAGTGCAAAGAAAGAACCGCTAGGATGCGTGCTAAAAAGGATTGCCTTATAAAAGTGTGTTCTTCTTGTTTTCATGATAATAAGGATGAAGATCTAAAAGTGATTGATGTGTCTCCTATTAAATCTTTGTTTTGCAATATGAATCTTGATAATGATGGGACTGGAGATGAGTCAACTTTAGCTAAAAGGCGTCCCAATGATTTAGAGTTTTTAGATCTTGATGCAAAATTTGGTAAAAGTGGGATTAAAGAGGTCAAAACTTTACATATCAATGAACCCACTATTTTGGATCAAGGAATTTAATTATGATAATTCCTCTTTGATAGATTGTATTTCCTTGTTGCAATCCGTGTGAAATTCTCCTCATGCTTATGATCAAAATAAAGCTTTTACCAAACATATCGTTGATGCTTTAATGAAATCTTATGAAGAAAAGCTTGAATTAGAAGTTTTTATCCCTAGAAAACTTTATGATGAGTGGTAACCTACTATTAAAATTAAAATTAAAGATCCTGAATGATATGCTTTATGTGATTTAGGTGCTAGTGTTTCCACGATTCCAAAAACTTTGTGTGATGTGTTAGGTTTCCGTGAATTTGATGATTGTTCTTTAAATTTGCACCTTGCGGATTCCACTATTAAGAAACCTATGGGAAGGATTAATGATGTTCTTATTGTTGCAAATAGGAATTATGTCCCCGTAAATTTCATTGCTCTTGATATAGATTGCAATCCTACATGTCCTATTATTCTTGGTAGACCTTTTCTTAGAATGATTGGTGCAATTATTGATATGAAAGAAGGAAACATTAGATTCCAATTTCCGTTAAGGAAAGGCATGGAACAGTTTCCTAGAAAGAAAATTAAATTACCTTATGAATCTATTATGAGAGTCACTTATGGATTGCATACCAAAGATAACAATACCTAGATCTATTCTTGTTTTTATGCCTAGCTAGGGGCGTTAAACGATAGCGCTTGTTGGGAGGCAACCCAATTTTATTTTTGTTTCTTGCTTTTTGATTCTGTTTAGTAATAAATAATTCATCTAGCTTCTATTTAGATGTGGTTTTATGCTTTTAATTAGTGTTTGTGCCAAGTAGAACCTTTGGGAAGACCTGGGGGAAGTTTTTGCGATCTTGCTGTAAAAAACAGAAACTTTAGCGCTCACGAGATTTGCTGCGATTTTTATTGGACAGTGCGATTACGTTGATTCTTTTTGCAGATGATTAATAGACAAATTCCTCACGTCCACCAATTTATTTCAGAATATTTGGGGTTACAGAAGTATTCGAAACCTACAGATTACTACACACTGTCCTGTTTTTGACAGATTCTGTTTTTTGTGTGTTGTTTGCTTATTTTGATGAATCTATGGCTAGTATCGGGGGGTATGAACCATAGAGAAGTTGGAATACAGTAGGTTTAACACCAATATAAATAAAGAATGAGTTCATTATAGTACCTTGAAGTGGTGGTTTGTTTTCCTATACTAACAGAGCTCATGAGATTTTCTGTTGAGTTTTGTGTTGTGAAGTTTTCAAGTTTTGGATAAAGATTTGATGGATTTTGAAACAAGGAGTGGCAAGAGCCTAAGCTTGGGGATTCCCAATGCACCCAAGGTAAAATTCAAGGAAAACCAAAAGCCTAAGCTTGGAGATGCCCTGGAAGGCATCCCCTCTTTCGTCTTCGTCTATCGGTAACTTTACTTGAGGCTATATTTTTATTAACCACATGATATGTGTTTTGCTTGGAGCGTCTTGTATGATTTGAGTCTTTGCTTTTTAGTTTACCACAATCATCCTTGCTGTACACACCTTTTGGAGAGACACACATAAATCAGAATTTATTAGAATACTCTATGTGCTTCACTTTTATCTTTTGAGCTAGATAATTTTGCTCTAGTGCTTCACTTATATCTTTAAGAACACGGTGGTGGTTTTATTTTATAGAAATTATTGATCTCTCATGCTTGACTTATATCATTTTGAGAGTCTTTTAGAACTGCATGGTAATTTGCTTTGGCTATAAAATTATTCCTAATATGATAGGCATCCAAGATAGTTATAATAAAAACTATCATAAAAAGTGCATTGAATACTATGAGAAATTTGATACTTGATGATTGTTTTGAGATATGAAGATGGTGATATTGGAGTCATGCTAGTTGAGTAGTTGTGAATTTGAGAAATACTTGTTCTAAAGTTTGTGATTCCCGTAGCATGCACGTATTTATATTTGTCGATTTCGTCTAAAACTAGTGATAATTTTTGGCAGTTAATGTCAGATGGGGTGGTTATTCGATCTGCGTCTTATCATGATTTATTGTTAGATTGCCAAGAATTTAAATATCTTGTAAATGACCATAAAGATACTACTGGTGTTTCAGATCTTAACAATATGGCCCATCACAGAGCAAAGGATTTGCCAATAAAGGAGACAGATGGTATTCATGGAAACAGATATATAGAGTCTGTGAAGCCATCACCAGTAGATCAACTGATCAAAACAGAGGAAAGAGAATCAGGGGACGCAGGTCTTAAGCCTTATATCCTATACCTGCGCCAGAAAAAAGGCTTCCTGTATGCCTCCCTTTCTGTCATGTCTCACATAATTTTCATAGCTGGGCAAATATCACAGAATTCATGGATGGCCGCTAATGTCCAAAATCCTGATGTTAGTGCACTAAAGTTAATTTCTGTGTACATTGTTATTGGAGTTTGCACGGTGTTCTTTGTGCTATCAAGATCTATATTCCTCGTTGTTCTTGGGATGCAGACTTCAAGATCCTTATTTTCCCAGCTACTTAATTCATTGTTCCGTGCACCAATGTCCGTCTTTGATTCTACTCCTCTAGGCATGGTTCTTAGCCGGGTAAAAATTCTCAAACAAACACAACTATATGAACTACAATTCAGTTTAACGTTACAAGGTTTTATATTAATAGATCAACCCTCCCCCCAACCTGCAGGTCTCTTCAGATTTAAGCATCATTGACCTTGATGTTCCATTTGCATTGATGTTTGGCTTTAGTTCCAGCTTAAATGCATATAGCAATATGGGGGTATTGGCTGTTGTTACATGGAAAGTTCTGTTTGTACCATTGCCAATGATAGTTTTGGCAATTCGGTTACAGGTAATCTTGTGGCCTTTTTCTGTATGGCTAAACTCCTAAACCCCCTTTCTTTGGTTATTTCATTCACCAAATGATATGCTGCTATTTTCACCCAGGAGGTAAAGTTTGTCTACTTTTTTCGTTTCACAATTCCCGTTGGCTGACATTGCAGGTTCTTGACAAATGCCAACTTCTTGAAGCTGTCCGGGAGAAGGAACAGGGATTGGATTCACTTGGTAGGAAACCTCACTGTACCTATGATTTGATTTCTGGATTTCATTTTATGCCCCTAACAAAATAGGATAGCATATTACAATTCTGCTTCAGTCTTTTGATTTTATGCCCCTAACCAATTAGAATACATGCGCCAATAAATCTGTCAAACTGCTTGTAGTACTAGGCGTATGAGTCGGATCAGTTTGCTTGCATGATGTCTGGAATTGTGTTCTTCATAGTACTGATCTATATCTTTCCATACAGTTGCGGAAGACGGGTCAAACTGGAGCATGAGCCATAGGAAGCTCTTTTTCTTGGGCCGCACACTTTTGAAAAGGTGCAGGATCTTAGTTCTTGATGAAGCCACGGCCTCTATAGATAATGCAACTGATGCCGTCCTTCAGAAAACGATCCAGTCAGAATCCAAACATTGCACCGTTATTACTGTCGCACACCGTATACCAACAGTTATGGGCTGTGACATGGTACTTGCAATAAGTGATGGTATGTATGTTCCTCTTATTGCCAACTTATTGGTTCTTCAACATAGTATTCCATACTAATGTGGGAAACTAGCGGAGTATGACAACTTATTGGTTCCGCAACCTATTGGTTTCTCTTATTGCCAACTTACTAATTCTGCAACTTATTGGTTCCGCAGCATAGTATTCCATACTACTGATCTGCATACATTTCCAGGGAAAGTAGTGGAGTATGACAAGCCCATGAAGCTCATGGAAACTGAGGGATCTCTCTTCCGTGAGCTGGTCAACGAGTACTGGTCATACACATCAAACGGAAATGTTTAGAAGAGATTTCTTACAGTGTGTGTTCACTGCTGCAGTTTCCCAGGAGATATGCTAGAATTAGTTTCAGAAAAAGGATATGCTGGCCTCGACAAGAGAACAAAAGAGATGCAGTAATCTCTCGACATACCTCTATTTGGGATCGGAAGAAAATACAGTGCAATCTCAGTTATTGCCTGGAAAATTCTTTTGCTATCAACTACTACCTGAAGTTATGAGCTACATATAGTTTAGCTTATGCTCGTTGGTGTTGCCACTGTTCAGAAGCGCTGAGGCTGAATAGAATAAGCCCATGAACATTCCTTCGCTCCAGCGATCGGATGTAGGAGGCTATTCGAGAGGAATTACAAATTTGTAACCCTGCTGTCACCATTAATACATTGTTGGAACTGCTTATAGGAGACAAATGGAGGGATGGCCTATTGTTCGTAGCCAAGTTATATAGTTTGTATACATTATTTTGCAGCACCGTCTTTGGAAGCTCCTGGGGATTGCTAAGATGGACAGAGGGGCGCTGGGACCTAACCATGGCGATGCTCGACCGGAGGCGAGGAAGACAACCGCAACTTAGGTGATTTATGGCCTTATGGAGCGATTCCTTCTGCTCGAATGATTGCAACGGCAAGGACCAGGTGGCATGGGGGTGGGGTGGGGGTGGTGGCGTTGGCGTTGGCCTCCAGGAACGGGGACAGAGAGTGGAGGGGGAGGGGGGACGTCTGGAAAAAAAGGAGGGGTCAAGGAGGTGGTTGCTGGGTGAAGATGTAGTAATGGGGCATGATGACGCCTAGACTCCCCAACCACGCCTCTCGATTTGTGGACGGACTGAGTGATTTTGGACGTGTCCGGCCCAAAGTAGGAGTCCACATTGGAGGCCTAAAGTGTCTGAACCATCCGTTCCAGACATTTGAGGCCGGAGTAGGAGTCTGCATTGGAGATGCCCTAAGCAATGGTCTAACAGACCACATCACACACGTGGGTAGCAACTTCAGAATTGATGAAATTGAGTTCAAATCGAAAATAAAAAATGGTTTTATATTGAAACAAGGGTAAAACTGTGTAGGTCCGAAATCTAAGAGTAGTGGGAACCAACCAAGGGCATAAGCCTAAAAAACCTAAAATGATTGTCCTGGCATCAAAGCGGCCCATCCTGTTTCATGCCCAACTTATCGCGGAAAATTGTTTGAAAGACGATGATCAGGTCATTACGTCATGAATGATGATGAGATTGATGCGTTAGGGGTTAGAGTGCTCGATAATCTGTGTGCGGATCTAGCACGCCCCAATCATGACTCTGAGGAAGATGATGTACCCCTAGAGAATGAGGCTAGCAATATATGTGAACCCGGTTATGAGGACCGGGTGACTGAGCCTAGTAAACCTAAGCGTAAGTGGAAACGGAAGATCTATCCAGATTCCGTAGTTCATAGGAGTGCTAGGATTCGAGTTAGTAAAAAATTCCATGATGAACTATGAGTGGAATTTTTTGGAATAGCAGAGGTCTGAAGGACTTGGCTAAAAGAAGATTCCTAGCTGAGGCAGCTCTAGAGCAGAGGTTAGATTTTGTTGCTCTATCAGAGACGGGTAGAGAAAACTTTGCGCCCCAGTTTCTCTCTTCTCTTGTGGGTGGTATTGATTTCGATTGGCATTGCCTCCCTTCGCGAGGAAGATCGGGTGGTATCTTACTAGGTGTGAGATGCGATTCGCTTGAAGTCCGAAGTGTCGTGATGGGAGACTTCGTGGTCAAGTTTCGAGTCAGGTCTAGGGTAGATGGTTTTAACTGGGCTTTGGTGGCGGTTTATGGTGCCTCACAGCCTGAACTTAAAGCGGAGTTTCTGGCGTACCTTGTTCGAATCTGTGGGTCAGAACAGCTTCCAATTTTAGTTGGAGGTGATTTCAATATCATCAGGAGGAGAGAGGAGAAGAACAATGATAACTTTGATGGCAGATGGTCGTTTATGTTCAACACCATTATTGAAAGCTTGGATCTGAGAGAGATAGAGCTTTCTGGGAGAAAGTTCACCTGGGCTAATGCTCTACCAAACCCAACCTATGAAAAACTTGATCGAGTACTTGCGAGCGTGGAGTGGGAACAAAAGTTCCCTATGGTTACGGTGCAAGCTCTTTCGAGGGGAATATCTGATCACACCCCATTGTTCGTGGACTCAGGGGAGCCGAACCATGAGGGTAACAAGAATACCTTCTCCTTCGAGATGTGTTGGTTTGAATGTGAGGGGTTCTTGGACTTGATCGCCAGGGAATGGGATAGAGGTGTAGGAGGCAAGAATGCGATAGAGCGTTGGCAGAATAAGATTAGGCATTTAAGAAGTTTCTTACGGGGTTGGGCTAAGAACCTCAGTGGTGTGTATAAGATTGAAAAGGATAGACTCCTTACTCTTATACAGGCCCTGGACATATAGGCCGAAGTCAATATCTTGTCGCCAGCTCAGCTTCAGGCTAGAAATGAGGCGGAGAAGAGGCTGAAAGAACTGTTTCGCGAACAAGAATTGAAGTGGGCTTTGCGTGCCAAAGTCCGCAAAGTGGTCCAAGGGGATGCGAACACTCAGTTCTTCCATTTGATAGCTAATGGCAAGCACAAAAAGAAGCGTATCTTTCAGCTTGAGCAAGACGAGGGCACTATTTTAGGTCAGGATAACCTAAAAACATATATTACCGACTATTATAAGCAGTTATTTGGACCTCCGGAGGATAATTGTGTGTCCCTCGATGAGTCCAGGACTGAGAACGTACCTCAGCTATCAGCTGCTGATAATGATATTCTGGTTGCCCTGTTTTCGGAGAAGGAGGTTTTTGATGGTATTGCACAGATGAAAAACAACAAGGCTCCCGGACCGATGGATTCCCGGCAGAGTTCTATAAAAAGTGCTGGCACATTATTAAGGGGGATTTACCACCTATGTTCCATGATCTGTTTTTCGGACAGCTTCAATTATTTCACTTGAATTTTGGGACTATCACACTGCTTCCTAAAAAGACGGATGCTGTGAGAATTGAGCAATTCAGGCCGATCTGTCTCCTCAATGTTAGTTTCAAAATTTTCACCAAGGTCGGTGTTGGGTAATGTAGTAATTTAACAAAAATTCCTACGCACATGCAAGATCATGGTGATGCATAGCAACGAGAGGGGAGAGTGTGATCTACGTACCCTTGTAGATCGACGCGGAAGCGTTGACGCAACGTAGAGGAAGTAGTCGTACGTCTTCCCGGTCCAACCGATCCAAGCACCGTTACTCCGGCACCTCCAAGTTCTTGACACACGTACAGCTCGATGACGCACCCGGGGCTCCGATCCAGCAAAGCTTCGGTGGAGAAGTTTCGTCAGCACGACGGCGTGGTGACTATCTTGATGTTTAACCGTCGTAGGGCTTCGCCTAAGCACCGCTACAATACGATCGAGGTGTAATATCGTGGAGGGGGGCACCGCACACGGCTAAGTAACGATCACGAAGATCAACTTCTGTGTCCTAGGGTGCCCCCTTGCCCCCGTATATAAAGGAGCCAAGGGGGGGGGTGCGGCCGGCCCTAGTAGGAGGCGCGCAGGAGGAGTCCTACTCCTACTCGGAGTAGGACTCCCCTCCCTTTCCTTGTCCAAGTAGGAGAGGGGGAAGGAAGGGAGAGAGGAGAGGAAGGAAAGGGGGGCGCCGCCCCTCCCTCCTTGTCCAATTCGGACTAGGGGGAGAGGGGGCGCGCGGCCTGCCCTGGCTGCCTTTCCTCTTCTCCACTTTAGGCCCATGAGGCCCATTAACCCCCGGGGGGTTCCGGTAACCCCCCGGTTCTCCGGTTTTATCCGAAACTTCCCCGAAACACTTCTGGTGTCCGAATATATCAATCTTTATGTCTCGACCATTTCGAGACTCCTCGTCATGTCCGTGATCACATCCGGGACTCCGAACAACCTTCGGTACATCAAAATGCATAAACTCATAATGAAACTGTCATCGTAACTTTAAGCGTGCGGACCCTACGGTTCGAGAACAATGTAGACATGACCGAGACACGTCTCCGGTCAATAACCAACAGCGGGACCTGGATGCCCATATTGGCTCCTACATATTCTACGAAGATCTTTATTGGTCAGACCGCATAACAACATACGTTGTTCCCTTTGTCATCGGTATGTTACTTGCCCGAGATTCGATTGTCGGTATCCAATACCTAGTTCAATCTCGTTACTGGCAAGTCTCTTTACTCGTTCCTTAATGCATCATCCCGCAACTAACTCATTAGTTGCAATGCTTGCAAGGCTTAAGTGATGTGCATTACCGAGAGGGCCTAGAGATACCTCTCCGACGATCGGAGTGACAAATCCTAATCTCGAAATACGTCAACCCAACATGTACCTTTGGAGACACCTGTAGAGCACCTTTATAATCACCCAGTTACGTTGTGACGTTTGGTAGCACACAAAGTGTTCCTCCGGCACACGGGAGTTACATAATCTCATAGTCATAGGAACATGTATAAGTCATGAAGAAAGCAATAGCAACATACTAAACGATCGGGTGCTAAGCTAGTGGAATGGGTCATGTCAATCAGATCATTCAACTAATGATGTGATCCCGTTAATCAAATGACAACTCTTTGTCCATGGTTAGGAAATATAACCATCTTTGATTAACGAGCTAGTCAAGTAGAGGCATACTAGTGACACTTTGTTTGTCTATGTGTTCACACATGTATTATCTTTCCGGTTAATACAATTCTAGCATGAATAATAAACATTTATCATGATATAAGGAAATAAATAATATCTTTATTATTGCCTCTAGGGCATATTTCCTTCAGTCTCCCACTTGCACTAGAGTCAATAATCTAGATTACACAGTAATGATTCTAACACCTATGGAGCCTTGGTGCTGATCATGTTTTGCTCGTGGAAGAGGCTTAGTCAACGGGTCTGCCACATTCAGATCCGTATGTATCTTGCAAATCTCTATGTCTCCCACCTGGACTAGATCCCGGATGGAATTGAAGCGTCTCTTGAT